ATATAACATAGCTTATAACAGCTATGGTTAAGAGGTGGAGAAAGATCCAACACAGCAAGTCTGATGCTGGATTTCCTACTTGTGAGGAAGACCCCAGCCTTTCCTGTGGCCAGTCAAGAGCAGGGTCCCTAGAACACTTGCTATGCATCGAGTGTGAATGGTAAGCAGAGGGCACATACGTCCCCCGAGAAAATCTGGGTCCCTTGCCGTCTTGCCCTTGTGGGAGCTTCAGGTCTATCTCTAGGAATGTTAACGATAGTCTGGGTAGGGACCAAGGTTCAGATATATCTAAGACTCGTACTGGAACTCTGGGACCTTGGCCAATTCATTCCTGGACTCTTAGTCACTTTGACTACCCCACTTGGTGTACCAAGGATGGCTTAGAGGTTGAAGGCCTATGGTTGGTCTTGAGGAAGGCTGAGAGATTGAACTTTCCATCCAAGCTGAGGACTTTGTGGGAAGAGGTTCCTGAGGGAGCCCTGGAAGAGGAGACTTTTCCTTGGAGGAGGAAAGTAAGCTAAAGTCAGGGCCAAGACACCTGGAGAAGCAGAGGCCAGAGAGTTCCTCTGTGTGCTGGCCAAATGCAGGCCTTGGCCCTTGGCTACAGAGAGCTTTCAGTAGGGTTATCTAGTACAGCCCCTTCTGGGACATGGCATGGGTCGAGTGAGGAGCCCACAAAGCTCACAGAAAAACTGAGTCACTCTAGGAAGGCTTTCCTAATTGGTCAAAGTCTCTGATTTGGGAGAGGGGTATGTCTGGTGGGAAAACTGCCAGGGACGAGAGCCATGTACATCTCCTTCATGTCAAGAGGCCAAAATAGTCCACTTCTTATCTGCCACACTGCCACTTATCTGCATACAACAGATAAATGGCATGAAGGCTGGTCACGGTGGGCCTCCTAGGCTGACACTGTGGGGCCACCCTCCACATCGGACATCCCAAGGTAGCTGCCAGAGCTGAGGACCTGAAAGGAGCAAGAACACATGAGAGGAAAGTGGGGTTCTCCCCTGGGTTTGAAGAATTTCCTACCCTAAAGCCCAAAACAACAAACAAACAAAACCACCAGTACTCAAAGCAGAAGCAGGTCCCTGCTTTCAGCCCACACTGCCCTCTTCCCCTGTGAAGGCTTTAACTATGCAATCCAGCATTTGATTGTTGCTTCGTTCACTAGGTCACTCACATGAGAGTCTTCAAAACACACGCCCCTGTCCGAACAGATTTGGGACTCCTTCTCCACTGTCCCTCTCCTTGACCTCTTCAGAACCCCCTGGGATAGGCCCCAACTGAATGCCGAAGATCTTCTCAATGGTAGAACCATGGAACTTGGGATGAGCTATGGATCCCTTTAAGGGTCTACGCATCCAGGAGTTAACAGTGTGAGTTAGAGAGATGGACTTAATGGTTCCCAAGCCTGGCTCCTCCTCAGCCCTACTGGGTGGGACCCGAGGAATAACAGCCTCACCAGTCCTCACAAACACACCGAGGAGCAGCTGCTGGGCGGTTCCAGTGGTTGACCTTGCAGTTCACAGCCCAACGCGTAACCCATTGTGTCCACCCCTTCGAATAAGTGACAGCTCCCGTCTACTTCCTCCTCCAGACTGTTTATTATTAAAGTCCTTTCCTATGAGCCCTTAACCTCAGCTTCCCAGATTTTAGAGAATCCCTGTTCACTGTTTAGGCTTTCCCCAAAGGAATGGACTCTCGCCGAGGGCAAGGACTGACTCACCTGCTCTGCGTTTCAGCTCCTGATTAAGGCAAACAGTGAAAGAAAGAAAAAAACGTCATTGGCCAACCAGGAGATAAACCCTTAACAAAAAAGCCATCTCTCTTAAGAGTTAAGAACATCTAACAATCCAGCATTCTGTGATGCTCACCTTCCTGACACGATCGCTGAAGACAAAGTGGGCACATAAGCAAATGTGGTGAAGAAAGCTGATGGTGCCCGGCTATCAAAAGATATAGCATGTGGGGTCTTAAAGGCTTGAAGATAAAAAGCAGCCATCTAGCTCAGAAGCAATAAAGCCCACATGGAAGAAGCACACCAGCCTGTGTGATCATGAAGTGTCAATGGGATCAGGTATCAGGCATCTAAGACCCAGAACAAAATCATACCCATTGTGAATTGGGGGGCCATGGAGTGGAGACCCAAAGCCCATCTGTAGATAATTGGACATCCCCTTACAGAAGGGACACAAGGAAGAGATGAGTCAGTCAGGGTGCAGTATAGCACCGATGAAACACAACTTTCCTCTAGTTCTTCGGTGCTTCCTTCCCCCCACTATCATGACTTCAATTCTACCGTACAAATCGGATTAGACAAGAGCATGCACACTGCTACAGATAAGAGCCTGCAACACAGGGCTAGATAAACCCCTCAGGGCCAACAATGAGAGTAGAAATACCAGGAAGGTTAGGGGAGTGTGGGGGGATTAAGGAGGAATCTATCATAAGGGTCAACATATAACCCCCTCCCAGGGGAACGAACAGCAGAAAAGTAAGTGAAGGGTGACAGAAGATGATGTAAGATATGAAAATAATAATCTATAGCTTATCAAGGGTTCATGGGGGATGGAGGGAGGGAGGGGAAAAATGAGTTGATATCAAGGGCTCAAGTAGAAAGAAAATGCTTTGAAAATGATGGCAACATACATGCAAATGTGCTTGACACAATGGATGAATGTATGGATTGTGATAAGAGATGTAAGAGCACCCAATAAAGGTATTTAATAAAAATGTAATAAATTACAAATTTAAAAAAAAATTAAGAACAGGTAGAGTCAGATGGTTCAGATTCTTGTTGGTGGCAAATTACATTTCCTATCCAATGCCTGATACCTACAGAGCACCTTGCACTGCACCTGGCCTGAAATAAGTGCTTACTGTGAGCTCCGATCAGGACTATTCAGAACATTCCAGTACTTGCATATCCTCCAGGCCACAACTGTCCCACTGAGCAGGGCGCCACTGGCCAGCAAGGCTAAGAGTAGCTCTGGTGTGGGGGATGGTCGACAGCAGGGGTCCTCAAACTTTTTAAACAGGGGGCCAGTTCCCTCAGACCCGTTGGAGGGCCGGACTATAGTGTAAAAAAAAACACCTATGAACAAATTCCTATGCACACTGCACATATATCTTATTTTGAAGTAAAAAAACAAATGGGGCAAAAACACCCGGCGGGCCGGATGAATGTCCTCAGCGGGCTGCATGTGGCCCGTGGGCCGTAGTTTGAGGACGCCTGGTCTACAAGGACATATCTCCTGGACCCATTCTGAGAGACACACCTGACTCTAGATCTTCCCACAGCACCGAAGCCCACTGTACTTCGAAGTTTGGAGTTTCCCAGGAGTATGGAGACTCCTGTACTCTGGCGACCTGCTCAGAAGTACTCTGCACACCTGAGGCCCCTACACCAGGAGGTCCTGGTTGACCAACGGTCAACCCCAAGCCTCCATTCTAGTCCACTGCATGCAACATAGGCTCAAGGTCAACTACCCAAGCCAGAGGGCTAGAACCTAAGACCTGCTTATACTCTGAAGGAAACTAAAATAAGACTCTAGCCAACTGAGACAAAACACGATCTTGATCTTTGAGAGTCAACAGAAAGACCAAAGACTAGGTAAGCAGACCAACCTGAGCTCCCGTTCCAGGGCTGCTGTATGGGGAAGGCAGGGTAAGGGCAGGTAAAGAAGGGAGAGAGGGCAGCACGCTTGGATTGTTAGGAGGTTTGCGAGGGGCAGTTGGAGAGAAAACAGAGCCTGACACCCAGGAAGCTCCCAACTTCTCCCAGAGCCAAGGCCATGGCTGACCAGGTGGGTGGCCCTCAGAACTGAAAATCTAGAGTGCTGAAGCCTTGGGTCCCTCCTTGACACCCCCCACCCCACCCTCATCCCACCCAAACCACCTGCTGGACTCCCTCCTCACCTTCCCAGCCCCAAGATGCTTAATTGATGAAACTAAAAGGATTTGATCATGTTGGTATATTTATATGTAAATACAAAACTGTATCGCTGTAAGATATTGAATATGAACATTTACAATGATTTCTGAATCTGACTCAGTCCATTGATGTTAAATACAAAATGAAAATATTGTAAAAATAAGAATATACACATTCGAAGAGCTTATTACAGTATAAAATTATTGAGGTCCGATCAGCTGCCAACCTCATCTTCCGGGATGGGGGATGGGGGGTGGGGAGGGTAAAGAAGGTTCAGGGGTTCCTGGCTGTTTTCTTGGGAATGTGGAATGCTGGGACTCTACTCCATTCTGGTTGGGAGCAAGCAGGGTGGGCTGGATGGGTGGGGAGCCAACAGTGATCACGGGGACCTCCTCACTCAGCCAGGGTGTAAACTTCATTGACACAGAATCACACCTCC